AGGCAGGCGGCCCGCGCGGCCGTGGACGGGCACGTGCAGGTGAGCGCCCGCGGGGGACTCGAACCTGCGTCCCGCGCCCGCCCGGGGGGTCCCCGCGCCCTCCCGGAGGTCCCGGGGCTGGCCGTGGGGGTCTCAGTGCTGGCTGTGGAGGTCCCGGGGCTGGCCTGGAGGTCCTGGAGTTGTCCGTGGAGGGCTCGGTGCTCTCCCTGGAGGTCCTGGGGTTTGCCCTGGAGGGCTGGGTGCTGGCCTGCGGCTCAGGTGACCCCTGGGCAAGTGTGCATCCTTGTGGCACAGTGCATTGCTTCAGCTTGGGCCTGTGCAGGGGGGAAGCCTACCCAGTCAGAAGGTGCCTGCGGTGTCTAGGAGATTCGCTGTCTTCCCTCACATCGGGGGAAAGTTGGGAGCCTGGCTGGGTCTGCGGACAGGCCGTAGCCTCGTGTAACATTTGTTGCTTCACAAACATCAGTAAGTAAATGGGTTCAGCTCACCACTGCGCAGGCGGGGAAAATCGCCTCTAATTCTTCTTTCAGCTCAGTATTGTGTGTTTCTAGACATGTTAGCTGCTAGTCCGGGGATGTTAGACCAGCAGCCAGAAGACTCCCCAAACTCATCCACACGCTTTGTCCTCTCTTCTCATGCTTGCTTATTATTATTATTTTTTTTTTACCCTGCCAGTACCTGGAGGTCCCAGCTTGAGTTTGGGACCCACTTGTGCTAATATGAACATGCCTAGAAGTTACACCGCTGTCGGCTTTGTTTGTCCATGTCCATCCCAGGATAATTTTACCCAATACTGCCTGATAATTGGGACCCACTCTCCTGCTTTCTAGGTGTGCGGCACGATAACAGCTACCTGCTGCGTCAGCTCTCCCCTGGGAAAGCTGCAGGCCTGTCTGGCCTGACCCCAGCGTGACTGCCATTGGTGTGCTTGTCCATGCCCTCGATTAAATGCTTCAGCCTTGTCTGCACTGGGATTTTACATGGAGCTGGGTAGTGCATGCTAGTTTTCTCACTGTTAGACACTTCTTCAACGGGGAAGACTTGGTCCCAATCTAGATCACATCTAAACAGGCCTTCTTGCCTGAATTGTTGCAGCTCCCTTCAGCCTTGTATGGTGGTGGGGGTGGGGGGATGCAAGACCTTTTTCTCTGTAGCAGTCTGTTACTAAATGTGGAGATAACATCTGAGGTCAAAAAAAAGTCTCTCCCTGTGTCTCCTTTTGTCTATTTGTTCTTCTTTCTGACTAACTTTGTCCTCGGTTTGGAGGCGTGTGGCTTTGTTGTGTGTTGGCTCTGCTTGCAAAGTGAGACATGGCTCTGTTCATTTTGTTGTGCTGTCCCTGGGACCACAGGGAATAAATATACAGGCATGATCCACTGGCCTGGGCTTCTCTGGAGGTGGGTCTCAGTGGGGAAGGGGGGCCCCGAGATAAAGTTGGCAGGTCCCAGTCTTATGCCATGTTCAGAAAGTTTAACAAAAACTTCCTTACTGGCATTACTGGCAAGTTAAACTTAACTCTTTGGGGGTGTGCTCTGCTCTCCCCTCTGTCTTCCCAACCAGGGTCTGTGTTGTTCTGCTTGGAAAAGAGCAGACTGAAGGCAGCTTCACGCAGTCTCTGCCAGCTTTGGTTGGATCATTGGGCACAGCAGGGCAGCTTGATGCACCATTTAACAGCAAAGAACCTTGCTATTACAGTAAATAATGCATGTACATAAAATTATATGCCAGGAGTGAACCTGTAAGGCCAAGATTAAATTCTAACTTCTTGTGATTTTTTTTTTTTTGGTAATGCTTTGCTGCTTAAGTGAATTTAAGCCTTGTATTTTCACCAAGGAATTTGCTTATGTACAAAATGCACAGGTGTATGCATGAGCCAAAGTGAATTCTCATCAAGTTTAGCTACCTAGTAAAGTGTCTCTACACTGCAAAGAGAACAGCATTGTGGGTCCTGGTTATGACGTAGCAGTTCACTGCCCATTTAATTAATACGTTTCTGCATTGAAAGTCTGGATCAAGCAACAAATGATATTGTATTGAGATGAGGGAGAGACTTGCCATGTGTCACTTGTTTAATTTAGGGGTATAGTGTCCTAGTTTATAGTTTCTCTTACCATGGGATAGAGAGAGCATGTGAAACAGCTACTAAATTCCTGCAGTTTAGCTTTGACTTACTTAGGAATAGAGTAGACACATGAACTAGTTACTGTGGAGCAGTTAACATGCAGTAAGTCCGTCCTTCCTTCCTTCCAGCTTGTTATCATACATACGTGTGTGCCCGACCACAGTGTGGATAGCACACTGTATGTTGATCATTGTCCTGAGCAGGCCCCCACCCTTGAAAGGGCAGGGCTTTGGAACAGTTTAAACATGGCTCTGACAATCTGTGATGCAAAACTGAACTGCATTTTAAGAGCGTGAGAAGGGCCCAGGGTGCACCGTATTTTCTACGGAGCAAGCAGGCTTTTCTTTTGATTTGCTGTTATCTTCCAGGGAGTGCTCTTGCAGTTCTTGCTTCAGATAACAGAGTTACTGCTACAGTGCTGTTCACTAACAATATTGTTCCTGGAAGTGGTGCTTTACCATGTGGCTTCCTTGAAAAGTAGGCTTCTTTCATGGGGTGCTTGTTTGAACCTCCTCCTGTACATAGACTCTGATTCTCCTGCAAAATAATGGGCATCTGGAAGACCTGCAGTGTCTCTGCGGTGGGGGTGAGGGAAAAGATGCCTCTGTTTGAGTTTTCCAAGGAAACCGTGAACTGTACTCACCAGTAAACTGAGTTGCTAGTTTTAGAAGGAGATGCTTTAGAAAAACTCAGTGTTGAACAGTGGACTGTTTAAGACTGGGGTGGGCAATTATTTTGGGCAGAGGGCCGCTTACTGAGTTTCGGCAAGCCATCAAGGGCTGCATGACAGGCAGATTAATATTAATTCCCTAAATTTTTTAGGGGCCCCGTGGGCCAGATAGAATGGCCTGGTGGGCCGCAGCCGGTCCCCGGGCTGCATTTTGCCCACCCCTGGTTTAAGAGCAAGCCTGCGTGAACTTGGAGTTCCCACAAGTGTTGTAGGAATAGACATCCTCAACCCTTCTGTAATCTCTGATAAGCCTCTGGCCCAAGACAAATCCTATGTTCAGAGCTCACCATTTCATACCTAGTTCAAGCATTAGCCATGTTCTGAAGTGGCCTAAGTAGGATGCTTCTGATTTCTCTTAGAGGCTGTGGGCCTGATGATTGCTTAGAAGTGTGGATGCCTGAAAGTCCATTTGAAACCAATGGTAGCTTTATGTGCTCAGTGCCTTTGAAAACCAGACCTTAGCAAGATATAATTAGCACCAGCCCTTTGCAATATGGTAAGATGCTTAGAATTGCAAAGCAGGCCATACCTCAAATATCAACTGGTTCGTCTGCCCATAGGAGCAGTATTTTTCTTTCTGTACCTGAAATAAGCAGTCCAGTTGCATTGCTGAATCAGGTTTCTGTGTATATGTTCTTTGCTTTTGGTGACAGGCCGGGTGTTATAAAAACATTCTTCTGTTTTTTTCCTGATCTCCAGAACAATCAAGTCCTTGGAATTGGGAGTGGCTCGACCATTGTTCATGCTGTGCATCGACTAGGTATGGTACGAACCTTCACTTGCTCTAGCACTAGTAATATCCTTTTGTCTGGCAGCCCTTGGTAATAAAACCCAGATTTGGACAAGGTTAATTACTTGCTGCCTTCTCAACAAACTGCTTTCTTGTGTTTGAGGCCGGCTGGTGTGTCTTACTTGAAGCTGAAGGTGGAAAACTGGCCTTTTATTTCGGTCTCTAGTAAGATCAATCACAAGGCATTAAGCTGACATGTTACTTGACCTGGTGCTTTGTTAATTATGGTTAAGCATGAGTGTATCACCTGTCCTGCCCATGCAGCCAGGGGGTGTGATCAATTAACCTGTGCCCAAGTTTGGAGTTAAAACCTCCCAAAGTTTACGTCTAGCTCTGCCACTGTGTGTGGCTTTGAATTACTCCCTTAGCTTTTCTGTTTCAGCTTTACCCATTTGGGCAATGTCGATGCTCCTCAGCGTCTTACTAATGACATGGAGTGGCCTAATGAGGTAACTCTTATCAGTACTTTAAGGATTTGAAACAAACCATCTGGTAATTTATATATCCTGCAGTTACACAGATTGCATCAGGTGTCAATTAGGACAAGGTTTTTTCCAGAAAGTGCCATGTGTTGGCCCAGTGCTATATCATAGAATGATAGAAAATGAGGGCTGGAAGGGATCTCAGGAGGTCACATCTAGTCCAGCCCCCTGCTCAAAGCAGGACCAGCCCCAGCTAGATCATCCCAGCGAGGCTGTGTCTATCTGGGTCTTGAAAACCTCCACCAACTCTGTCTAGGCAGGCCGTTCCAGTGCTTCGCCACCCTCCCAGTGAGAGAGTTTTTCCTAATATCCAACCTAAACTTCTTGTGCTGCAACTTGAGACCATTGCTGCTTGTCCTATCATCTGCCACTACAGAGAACAGTCCAGATCCAAGTGTTCTTGAAGGAAGGACATGCAAACAAAGTTTTCAGCCAAGTGCTGCTTTTATGGAGACCCTGGACAATCAGTTCTGCTTAACTGTTTTCCGATACAAAACAGAACGATTTGCAGTTGGGAACTAGGGCTGTTGGCTAAAGAGAGTTGTTTGTAGAGGACTCCCTCTGTTCAACATGGGCATTTAGGATATTCCATCAGTCCAGTCCTGCTTTGAGATCTCGCATGTGCCCTGACGACTTGCAGTGCTGTTGGTTGCACACACCCTGGGCTTTGTTTGCGCTTATTTGGCTCCAGGGCATATGGTGTATATATTTGAATGTTTTACCTGCAAAATGTTTTCAGAACTGGAACTCTGGTTCCTGCTTTTGTTGCTGAAGACAGATTACTCTAATTCAAACATAAGCTAGGTCACTGATCCACAAATAAAGGGTTATTGATTTTCCTGTTTGCGTGTACCGTCCCACCTTCTGCCTGAGTAATGGGGCCCACAGCGCAGTGCTTTGCTGAATGACTGTAACAGTAGGATGAAAGCCTCCAGGCCACGTGACTTTTGCCACCAGAAAATCTTGCCAGTGATCTTGAAATGCCAATTCCCTCCCTGGTTCCATAAGGTAGCAGTGAACTGCTCTCACCCAGTTGGACCATTGGATTTGCCTACACTTGAATTATGGGCAAAATATTATCAAGCAATTATCTTAATAATAGACTGTTAATTTTCTGAAGTTAACCAGAGGAGTGGAACATTTCCTATCTCTTAAAGGCAATGCAGGATTTTGTTCCATTAACTATTCCTTGCCATGGATTTAAATGTTTTTATTATATGTGACTAGGGTGCCCTGAAGTGACAAACTAAGCAGCTGCTATTTCTTGCCAACAGCTCCTCTATTGACAAGGAGGGCAGTAGAATTGGTCTGACATGGGGTTTCATGCCTCCGGTGAAGAGTTGTTCTTTGCTGACAGGACATAGCTCTGGCTGTTTTACTGCTCTGGGATGAGATGGGTCATTAGCTGAGACACTGTTTAGATATTGTCAATAAAAGCTATGGTGTACCTAGCACAGGGTGGCACTTGGAAGCAATTGTTGCATGGCTTATTCCTTTTCAAGTAATTGTCAGGCTGGTCTTGAGTTAGTGTTTCTTAAAATGAAACCTTTTCCTTGATTGTGAAAGTTTGTTGAGAAACCTGATGTGTCTGCTTCTTCCTACAGCTGAAAGAGTTCAACAAGAAAACCTGAATATTATTTGCGTCCCTACATCCTTTCAGGTAAAAGCACTTTCCCCCTTTGCAGCAGATAAGACTCCCGCATCGCCAGTTAGGTGGGAGGTGGTACCAGAGCATTTTCTGAATCAGCTGATCCCATGTCTTGGCTCATGAATAAAGCACAGCTTTGGCAGGTGATTGTGTGAATGGCTAACCATGATGTACAGGTGGAGTGGTGTTTATTGTCACAAATCTCTATTCACAGTAGAAACCTGTGCAGCTTTGGGGAGGCTTATGTTTTAAGTTTCAAATATTTGTAATTCAAGGGTTGCCACGTACATGGGAACACAGCAGGAGAGGCCCCTGTGTTCTGCCCCATGTTCACAGGCAGTCATGAACCAAAGGACCCCCCAAATCACCAGACAAAATCACTCCCCACTCCCCAAAACACTACCCGTGGATCAGATGTGTGGCATGGGATCAGTCTACAGGCTGGATTGGGCCCATGGACTTCCCCTTCCCAACTCCTTGCAAGTGCTGCCTGTAACACAGGTTGCAGACTGGCTAGAGTGGGCACCACATGCAGCACAGTCCTGGACTGGCCAGAGCAGGTGCTGGATCTGGCATGTGGGGGACCCACAGATTCTGCCCCCCTCCCTTCCTGAGTGCCAAATCCAGTGTTTGCTTTGAGTATGGGACTGCACTGCACATTGCCTGCCCTAGACTGGCTGGAGTGGGTACTGTGGAGCTCGTGTCCCAGAGTGGACATTGGATTCAGCATGCTGTAGGGCATCCTGGACTGGCCCACATGGCTGCTGTGTGCAGGGCAGGTCCTGGAGCAGGCACCGCATGAGGCTCATGTCCTTGGCCCAGTGGAAAGGGCTGGTCTCGCGCACACCATGTGTGCATCAGCTTGAGACCAGGCCAGCTCTGGGGTCTGGATGGTGTGGTTTCACGGGCTGTATTTTTGACACCCTTGCTCTATAACATGCCCCAGGTAAAGTCAGGGAGACAAGGTCATTGCAAATGCCTCACCACTGCAACAGCAGGGAAATAGTTGATATGTGTTCAGAAGATCCTAGAAAAAAGACCATGCCCTATGCTACGGAGGCAGGCAGTCTGTCCCTGCACCAGCCGACACACCCACACGGTCTGTACCAACCTGATCCCCAAATTTGGCAACCAGTATGTCCCTGGGTGGAAGAGCAAGACCCTCTGTTCAGCTGTGTTGCACAGAAGTACTGAAAATGTTGTTGCATTGGGAACCTTTCCTCTAGGTCAGGTCCTTATTGATTGTAGCAGGCTCTGGAGCCCTAGATGCTGTAACAGTTGTCCTGCACAAGCCCAGGCCAGATCAAATGCTCTCAGGAAGATGGAGGAGTGCATGTAGTTGGCTGGTACGTGGAATTCCTCAGGAGAAATCGGCTTAATCTTTCTTTTGCTGTGCAGTCTTCTACAGGGAATGTACTTCTGACCAGCTGCATAACTGAGCTTTGTGTTTCAGAGCGAAGAGAAATTTGCTGCAACAGCACAGAGCTAGTTGTAGTTGTTGTTGCTCTCTCTGCCTCGGTTTTCTTGCTAGTGAAAAAGAAATACAATGTAGAATGGGCATAGTGCTTCCTCTCCATCTCCTTTGTGTTATCGGGCATATCCCTGATTCAGAAAGAGCACGGGCTGTTGGCAGAATATGCGTGGCCTTATGGATAGGCTGGTGGGCTGGGAATAAGGAGATTTGTATTTTATTGCTGATTCTGCCATTGATCTGCTCTGTAACTGCTTACAAGTCACTGCATCCCTTGCTGCCTGTCATCCTACCCTGTGCCTGCCTGTACATTTTGTTTGCTTCTGGGGGGCAGAGACTATCTGGCTAGGCTCTTGTTCAGTGTTTGGCACAGTGGGGGTACAATCTAGCTCCTGTAGTATGAATAATGACAACATATAGAGAAATTGGTGATTTGCAGTTGCTGCTAAATGCAGAAGGTAAGAACGAATTGAAAAAATATTGGGTGTGACAGAGAATGCAAGTGTGTTGCAAAAAATCAGGCTGGCATTGTTTTATTTTTAAATTGACAATGATTGCAATTTTTCTTAAAATGCTACCCTTGATATTTGTCTTCCCTGTCTGTGAACTAACAGGAAAAAAACAGGTAAGAGGTTCCTGGTATCAGTCATACTATTTCTCAGCAGTGATAGTTCATTTAAAATGATTGCGTGCAACTTCCTGCAGCTTCTGGGTCTGAAGCATAGCTTTGAGAGGTTGTGGTTTGTGTTTAACCTTGGAAGTTACAATGATGAAATCTTGGCTTTCTGTTTGCAAGGAGCAAGGGTCCCTCGCAATCACAAGAAACGTGTTTCTCCCTCTGCTGTTCTTGGTCTTCTCTTCCCTAGTCATGAGCCACATCAAACATTTGTAGCATAATTTAGTGCCGAGTATGTTTAAGGGAACAACTGGACTATGCAACTGCTTTAAATAAAGAGAATTGCAGGCTGCATTTATTAGCTGGCCTCCTGACGTGGGGTTGACCTGGAACAAAGTCATTCCTCTGTTCCACTTGAACAGAAGCTGGTTCGCTTAGTTCAGTCCTGCAGCTTGGCAGAGTGTTTTGAAGTAAGAGGCTTTGTCTCCTAACGTGGACTTTTCTTTTGCACTGGGTCCACATGGCAGGTGATACATTTGTAGTATTAAAAAGATCTGGGGAAAAGTTCTGGGATTAGTGTCTGGAGACTTGGGTTTGGTGCCCAGCTCTGCCACTGAACTGCTGGGTGACCTGGGGCAAGTCATGTCACCCCTCTGTGCCTCTTTCCCCACCCTTTGCCTCTCAGCTGAGGCCTCTAAATGTTAACTGTAAGCATTAAGAGTTTTGTTTATAAATACAGAGCTTGTACTTCTGTTTTCTGACTAGAAGTCAAACGAAAGAAGATGGCTTGAGTGAAGAAAGGAAGAAAAAGGAAGGGATGCAACTGCTTCCTGCCTGCCCTCCTTCCCTCTTCCATCTCCCTCCAGTTCTCCTCCCCACCAATCCCTCTGCACCTGTTCCTAAAAAAGATTGCTCCAGGATGATGTCCGACTCCAGCCATATTGCATGGGAGGTGGGGGGGTAACTCGCAGAAGAGAGGTAGAGCAGAAGAGTATATGGCTGCGCAGATAGAGCAAAACTTATCTTTTAGAGAATTATCACATTTTGATTATTAGGAACTGGATGTATTCTGCTCAGTAGAGCGGACAGCGTGCTGACTCTTGCCTACATTTTGGGTTGGTGACGAGGTGGATGTCAAATGTTGCGTTGGCTCTGTGGTTTGAAACTTTCTAGAGGCAAGTGAAAAGATACTCTGCTGTCTAGCAAGTTTCTCAGTCCTGTACACCTGCGCAAAGTGAGCGTTAGGCTCCAGATCCGACAGCAACACCTCCTTCCCACTTCGCACATTATAAAGGACTGTTTGAGGTCCCAGGCAAAGGAGTCGGTGTCAGTGGGCCCAATTCACTCCCTTTCTCCAACACCAGTTTAAGTCACATAACAGCCGTTAACACCTGTTGGAGTTAACACTTGTTGGAACAAGACAGAGACTGGGCTGAATGTATCTGCTGCTTTGCTCTAGAGGTGTGTATGTGTGTGTTGATCCATCTAGGTATCCACTGAGAGCTTATAACTTAGCAACTGGACTGTTTCCTGGCAACAATCTGCAGGTCTCCATCTACTGAGAGCTGCTTTGGGCTTCCACCTAATTAAACAGCTGCAGAGCCAGGCCAGCGGTGAGACTGCAGCTGTTGGGTAGTTTCGTCTGGTTTTGCGGCACATCAGGAAGCTTCTTTTGGTACCTGCAGGGAAAGTCTTTTCATTCTGATCCTCTAGATTTGAGCAAGTGCCGTGTGGTTACAGCTGCTTTTCCTCTTAGTCATGCATTTGTTTATTGACTCTACAAACCCACTTGTTTGAAACAGCTTCCCCATCTCATCATCGGGAGTACAGTGCTGTAGCATTGGAGACCTGCCTGCTTGGCAAATAGTCAGCTGATGGGAACTAATGTCACTCCATTGACTTAAATGGCTCTGTGCTGACTCAAAGCCTGCCCAGGTCTGATCTAGAATGGAATGGAAAAGAAAACACCACTGCCCTAGAAAAGATTTGAGTCGCCTCTCATTGCACGTGAACCAACCTTTTCACAACTGCAGCACAAGAGAAAATAATCAGGGGACCTAACTTGTCAGCAGCAGCTTGTAAATCAAGGACCAGATTATTTTGTAGTGTCACACCCTTGTTTTATAGCATTCCCAAAAGTGGTGCAGGAACTTTTGACTTGAACAGAGTTAACAGTAAGAGTGAATTTGTTTTGGGTAATGCAAGTTACTTAGGGCAGTGATTCTCAGCTGCAGCACTGTGGGGTATTGTGGGATCCTTTTAAGGGTGATGCACAATTTTTCATAGAAAATGGACCTGGATGTTTAACATCTTCATCAGCGACTTGGACGAGGGGGTGGAAAGCATGCTGTCCAAGTCTGCTGATGTCACTAAGATGTGGGGCGAGGTGGGCACACTTGAAGGTAGAGAGAAGCTGCAAATAGATTTAGACTACAAAAGTGGGCAGATGAGAACAGGATGGGGTTCAATGTAGACAAATGCAGGGTGCTGCACCTTGGGAGAAGGAATCCAC